GTTTCGTTGTCTACTGCTCGATATGAGGCTGCTACTCAGTACTCATTTTCTTGGAGAGAAAAAGGAAGGAGTGGTGGTGGGCCTGCGTGGATCATTTGAATTTGGTAGGGGTACAGATGGCAGCACGGGGATGCTGATGGCAGGCGACACGAGTGAACATGAAAGAAGAGTGGAATGTGAACTAAATTATCCTACTTACTATAAAGCGCTTAGTCTGTCTGTCTGTCTCTCTGTCTGTCTGTCTGTCTGTCTGTCTGTCTGTCTGTCTGTCTGTCTGTCTGTCTGTCTGTATGTCTGTGTCAAAATTGCTTAGCTCCTTTAGATCTGCCTGGAGAGACCGGGTCAAGCGTGTGATGGTGGGCCATGTCCTGAGAAGTATAAAGCGCACATCAGCTTGGCGAAGCCCCGCCCACAGTTTGCGTGGCGTGCATCGAAATGAGCCGCACTGAAGACTATGATTTCAAATTCAGTCACGAGACGGCCTCAAAACTGAGGTGTGAGGGTGGCTAGAGGTGTGCATTGGTAACTTAGATCGAACTGGGGAGACCCACCCCCAATGGGCGGGGCGCTCTCCAGAAAAATGCAATGCTTTATGAAAACATTTATAACTCGGCTTGGAGAAAGCCAACAGAGCAGGAAAAAGTTGATGTGGGAGGAGCGATCAGATGGTACATTGATTTGTTTTGAGTTTGACAAAGCTGAATACTTCTCCAAACCTCCTCAAAAGTGGAAAACGGAAATGATTGTTGACGTACCATTCCGTTACCTGGGGTTTCCCTACTGGGAGACTCTCAGTTGTTTCATGAACATGAAACCTTCGATGCTCCTTTGATATGATATCCAATTCAGTCATCACGATAGATAGAATTCCTTTCTAGTTCATCGAGGAGTTTATCTTCTCGACCGCAGGTCGAAAAAGCCTCCCTATCGGAGCCCGAGCAGCTAAGGCCTGTAAACATTACCTCGTTCTTTGGGGGAATTTTCGGAAAAACTACTTAGGAGATAGGGTTATCGCAGAAAACCTGGAGAACTAATGTTCTTCCTCCTAAAGGTTAGCGTGTCAGGGAATCCAAGTCAAAAGCGACCCAGCTGCTGGGAAGCTCAAAAGATTGGACAGTCGTTCTGCAGCTTAAGTTAAATGCTGTGTTTCACATTGACATTTGTAAAGTATTTGTCAAGCGTAACCAAATCAACATTTGTAAAGTATTTGTCAAGCGTAACCAAATCAAACTTTTATGAATTCAATCTTGCTGAAAATCTCCTTGAGATTTCGGCATAATACAACATTTACTTGAGTCAACGCTAGTTTCGAATTTGGATTGGCAGAACATTTTTTACGGTTACAATTTCCAACAGTTTTTCACAGAGAGTGCTTTAATTGATGCTGTTTTGTATTCATATTATAAATACGATCTACCGCGTGTGGTTGAGGAAAGTAATGTTAAGTAGAAGGTATTCGCTTATGATGTGGAGATTTACAAGTTAATAGTATCCGTGATTGATGCTACCTTGATTCCATAATCTACACAAAAAATGCCTGTTTATAAATTGTGAGAGTTGCTCCTATCTCCAGATGAAGCGACTATTCTTGGCTTCAAGAAAGTCACAGAGTACCACTAGTTACTGCGTCGCTTGATGAGAATTCATTCGTCATTCATTCGTCTTCCTGCGCCCACCGCGAGCGGTCGGCTTAATTGGTTCGCTAATAATGATTTCAGTTGCAGCCCAACAAAACAATGGACCAAGCTCCCAGTCGCAATCTATGGCCAGAAAACTGCTAATTCTATTCCGGACAATGACAGCATTACCCTGCTGAACCAAATTCAAGGAATTCTGACATCAAAGGCACTCAGCTTCTCGACCGTTTTCTAAGTAAGCTACCTTTGCTAACTAAGGATGTAGTGGAAAGCGACAAGAGGCAGAGGTCAGCGGTTTTGTACGGTATACCCGAGGCTGAGGGTGACCTATCTCGCCCCTGCGTCGAGAACATACGGAGAAGTACATTTTAGGCATACTAGATTTGCTCGGCATCGAGACCCGTAGTGTAGAAATTTACAGGATGGACGGAAGTGTTGAGGGAAGACCTCGTGATTGTAGAATGATTGTTTTCTTCTCGTCGATTCATGCTGGAGACTTTATTTAAGGCTCGCAAACTCTATATCGGCCTATAAGGCAGTGTTTGTGCGCTGATCAATGACTATTGATGAACGCAATGAAGAACGCGATCTACGAAACAAAGCTCGTTAGTTAAATGATAAAGAATGCAATGGTAAAAAAGTTTATGTGGTTTACAACGGAGAAATTTCCAAGGCATCGGACCCATCAAGTGTAAAAAAACTCCCTCCGTGCGCAACATTAAAAAATCTAGTTTCCCCAACGAATCGCTGGTCAAACTGCCTTTTGTTGAATGTTCGTAGCCTGATGAATAAAACAAACCATCTACACTATCTAATGGATACTTCCAACCCCAGTACAATTTTTGTAACCGGGTCCTGGCTCAGTGGCAAAATCACTAATTCAGAACTTTGTCCTGTGTTCCCATACACCCTCATCAGAAAAGATAGACATGCTAAGGCAGGAGGGAGCGTATGTGTTTTTCTTCACAACCACTAACATTCTTCTGTTTGAAAAAAACGTGTTTGATTGCAGCTTTCTCAGTTGGGATGTCCTATGCTTCAACATTTGTTTACCAGATTTTCGTGAGCAAAAATTTCTCCTTGTGTATCGTCCTTCCCTATCTACCTCGATTCGAGACGGTCAAGTGATCGAAACTGTGTCGGAATTAGTTGCATCAACATTCCACAACACAATCGTCCTCGGGGATTTCAATCTGGATATTGTTTGGCGTACCCGTACTGCTGCCAACCCAGTGGCACAAAGTTCTTCACCAATTTCGAGAACCTTTCCCTCCAGCAGTATGTCACCTTCCCAACTAGAGATGACAGGATTCTCGAACTTATCTTGTCAGATACGCGCTGCATCTCTGACGTTTCCTCACCCCCCCCCCCCCCCCCACCTATCAACATCTGATCACAACATCGTTTCTTTTAAAGTACATTCCCTTTGGCTGAAGAGTGAGAGTATTCCTTACAAAGACCACAAAGGCACCGACGAGGTACAAACTAAGCACGAACTAGACAATCTTAACTGTATGCTAATATTGAGTAACTATAATGATGTCGATGATGCACATGATCGATTTGCTGCCATTATACAAGATACAAGACGGCTACGCACGCAATCGCGTGCGCTGAGGGCGCTAGCCATAATGGAGGGGACCACATGAGCTTCTGATTTTTATACAGATTTTGATCATCTGAGCCTCTTCCCTGACACTTCTGCAGCAGCCATCATTTTCTTTTTGTCTCATTGTAAGCATGAAATTTTTTCGCTAGATCACCAAAATTTGGATTGTCCGGCAAGCAGCTCAAGAAGGGTGTCTGATGTGCAATAGAAAAGTTTGTCCAGCTCGGCTGGAGTATTAGCATGGTATGCATAACACTTGACTTTGGAACAATTGATTGTAATTGTTCCAAAATCAAGTGTCAGTTTACTCTTTTTTTTATTTTTCTATTATTTATTTTTATTTTTTATTTTCACTTTTGTTATTTATTTTTTAATGGAATTGTGATTTATCAGAGCAACATTATACAGTATACACAATATTCTTCAGCAAGGGCGACGGGGATTAATCAAGCAATAACTTCAACCTTTTCTGATATTAATCAACAAATATTTTGGTTTAGGCTGTGTGTGGTCATGAAGAGTACTCCTGTGAAATGGGGCTGTGTGTGACCATGAAGAGTACTCCGATGTATCGAAACCAAATACCTCTGCAGTTCATGTAGTCGAAAAAACTCTGCGTAGTTTGAGCTGTGCGTGGCCACGGACACTAACTTTGGAATTGGTCTTAGCCCCGCCCCCTCTTTGCAAACCCTACCCGCTTCAGACTTCGAACCACACTACTTCACTACATCCAGACACCTTTTTCCCGCGTTCTAAAAGCCTCTGAAGAGACTTAATAATTTTGGTGTAAGCCCCGCCCATACGGTCCCGATCCCGCCCACTTCGAGGATTTGACCTTATTTGTTCCATTACCTCTAACCACGTTTTTTCCGCTTTCTAGAACGTTTCTGAACAAAGTTACATTCATTTTCAAAAAGAAGCTCTCTTCTCAATGCACACCCTGGTGGGCGGGGCTTCGCTAAGCTTACGCATGTCCAGCACGCATAAGGCCTTGCCCACTACTTTTATTTTTTTCCTGACCTCGACGCACTCGCTGAATCGAGTTATGAATCTCTGTGGAAAGTGCCGCCCGCTGCGAAAACGCTCCACCCACAGCCGGTAAGCTTCCTTTATTTTAGTTATAAACCCACCGCTAACCTTCGCACATTTTACCGGCGTCTGGACTGTTATGAGACCGAATGAGAAGAATTTGCCCATGACCCCGCCCAATTCCGGTGCATGCCCCGTCCCTTGGGACGGAGCTTCGCTAGGCTCACACATGCTCTGTTGCAGTTACCCTATGCTCAACCCATTTTAAACTTGACCCGACTTATCCAGGGTTTTCTTCAGGTTATATCGAATTTCCGTACAAACAGACAGACAGACAGAACGCTTTATATATAGTAAGGACTATTGATCGCTATGTTCCCCACCGCCTATTCGAGAAGCATGCGTCTAACAGATATCCTAATCACATCATGAAACTGTTTGAGCAGCGGTATTGATTGTTTCAGCACTTGTCGCAGCCGTCAACAAGTGCGCAATTTGTTGTGATTTCAAAGAACCTAGATTACCACGTCAGGCGGTATTTAGCATACAAAAAAAGGAGGCTGGCTAAAAAAATCACATGAAAAAGCTTTCCAGCTATATCACAAAAGTCAAAGCGAGTTCCATTACACAGAATTTTGGAAGACTCTGAAGGCGAGAAGTATTCAACTGATCTCGTAAAAGCTTCCTTTCTTGCCAGCGTTTATGGTAAACCTGCAGAATGCGCCATGACGCTGCCTTCAGTCTCTACCGAGCGCTTTGTGCTGCCCTACATTTCCCCTAACAATGTACTGAGATACCTGAGAACTCTGAAGCCATCACTCTCTCACACCCGATGGGATACCACAAGTTTTTTCAAAGACTATTCAAATTATCTTGCAGCCCCTTTCGCCCACATTTTCAACATTAGTACTCTGCAAGGTCAAATCCCCGCTATATGGAACAATTCCTTCGTCACACCTATTCCCAAAAGTGCCACTTGCAATCTCGTGTCACACTTCAGACCTAGCAAGAAAGAACTTCTGGAATCGGTCACAAAGCTCAATCACATCGCTCCTGGGCAGCATGGCTTTCTCCCACGGGCATCCACATGTACGCAATTGTTGAGTTGTACTCGCTACTGGATTGAAACCCTAAACAGTGGAAAAAATGTTGATATAGTTTCTTTCAATTTGAGCAAAGCCTTCAATAGGGTATGTCACTCTTTGCTGTTGGCCAGGCTTGAGAGTAGGAATCAGAGATGGTACCTTGGAATTATTCAGATCACATCTGGAAGGGTGGAAATTCAGCGTCCGTTTTGGAGACAGCTTTTCGGCATTGAGAGAGTGTCCATCGGGAGTCCCACAGAGAGGCGTGTTGTCGCCGCTATTTCCTCTTTTACACTTGCAATTCACTTGATCATCTCAAAACCGACAACAGGATTAACGTTGCCGGCTTTGCCGATGACATAAAAGTAGCAGCGATCTATGCGCTGGTAGAAAGACATGAAGCTCAGGTGGCTCTGAATAAGTCCGTTGAAAAAATGCTCAGCTAGGCGATGTCATGGAGGTTGCAAATCAAAGACTTGAGTATCATGGTATCGAAAAACTTGACCTGGAGTGTACACGTGGACGAGGCTAGTAATAAAGCTCTAAGGTTGGTCTATCTCTTATTCAGAAACAATTACTGTGCCGATGTTTACATGTGGATCAGACTCTTCAGATCATATGTTCTTCCCATTGTCGAATACTGCAGCCCAATTTGGAGCCCACATCTGGTCAAAGACATCCAAAAGATTGAAAAAGTTCAGCAAACATTTACTTGTATCTTGTACTAAAGCATTCCCCAGCACGAGTTATCCTGACACCCTACTATCTTATGGAAGTTCGTCTCCGGGAGTTGAATTTGAAGAGTTTTTTCCACAGGAGGATTATAATCAACTTGGTTCTTGCGTTCAATATACTCAAAGGAGAACTGCAACTTTGGCCATTGATGTTTTGGGTATTTCGAACCTCAAATGAACGGCTTCCATTTTTTTCGGCCATAAAATGGGCAAATTCCACAAGCAACTCCGCTACAGCAGCTTCATTTCACGTACCACTCGCTGGCTGTCGTGATTGCCTTCATCTGTTTTAATGTGTCATAACTCTTCTCAGTTCAAAGCAGCATTACACAAAGTCCATTTGTTGGACGCTCTTGGCTTGGAAGATGTATCGTAGTTTTTTTCTGACACTGTCCCTATACTAACTCTCCTCTCAGTTGCTCAAGTAGGGTAGCGTCTCTAATATTTCTTCCTTCGCGGGAGTGATACTCATTGGACTCATTTCGAAGCGACAAGTACCACCAAAACCCCCAAACATGGTACGGCAAGGAGGTCCTTAGTCTGATTGACGTGGAATGATGCGCGGTGGGTTTTGCCAGGTTTACCGGTTCCAGGTGAGTGGACGGCATACCCGTGTCTCGAAGTGCAGGTGAATTCCCATTACCTCAAGTGGCGCAAAGGGCACCATGGCCGCCTGGTGCTGGCTTACTCTGCAGCGTGTGCCCTACAGATCTCAAAACCAGAGCCCTCCTAGCCTCTTGGATCTTAACTTTATCGCTGAGGTTGAGATCTGTCCTCACCGTGTCATTCCTACATTTTCGCCCCTTGTTTAGGGAAGACTGCTTGCCGAGCGACTCTCTGGTCTACGCCTCTGTTGTTGGTACCCATCAATTTCTATTATTAATTGGTTCACTCTGCAGTGCCTTCGTGAGCGGTCGTGTTTAAAAAGTTCTCCTTTGCTGCTACTATCCTATATCGCGGATAATTGCTACTCTCGTCTATCGCCGCTTATTTCTTCGCAAAGTTATCGCTCTTGTGGCTGGAGCTCCTATATCAATTGGAAAGCCAATGAGAAAGGTCTAGTTTCCCGATTCTATTCGTTTGCTACATTTGGAAAGTTTGCCACGTTTGTCGAAATTTCGTGAGGCTTCTTATGGCCGGAGCCGTTATTTCATAGTTGATCCGTGCCACTTTGAAAGTTGAGTAATCGTCACTGATCATGTGTTCTTCGTGTGTGTCGTCGTCAAGCGTTCAGGGAAAAAAAGAAATTCCGGACTAACACCTCAAATTCGTCTGCTAATTTGCCCATCAATGAGCAAGGATTAGAAGATGCTATTACGCTGCTGTCGGCAGATACCTCAGTACAACCCTATTTAAAAACCATTACTGGACATATCCTAGAAAGCGTTTTGAAGAAGGATAGTGAGCTAGAATATCTGAAGAAACGGAACACAGAACTTATCGCGGAAAATAACAAACTGAAGGAAGAGGCCAAAGCGCTCAAGTCTAGTCTAGCGCATTCCTCTACCAATAATTCTTCAGGTGTACAATACAATTTTACATCCATAAAAGCTCAACACGATTGTTGTGAAGCAACCGAGCGGTCTAGATCTGTCATTGTTAGTGGGATAGTTGAAAGGGTGGATAATAACGTTATCAACCGTCTTAACCATTATATTGATTGTGTCAGAAAACTAGTTTCCTTTCTCAGCATTGAATGTATGCCGATTACTTGTAACAGACTAGGACATCCAAGACCAAATTCTCCTAGTTTACTCAAAATTGTACTACCATCTTTCAAATTCAATCATCGCTACTGAAAAACGACCCGCAACTTCGTTTCTTTCCTGTTAAAGTATTTTCATTCGCCCTTCGCTGACCAGGGAAGAGCGGGCATTGCGGCGTGCTCATAGTGTCTTCCCACCACAACGCTCGACTCGATACTCCCCTTCTGCACCCTTGCATGAATCACAGTTTGAAAATGAATCACAACGTAATTCAGTCAATAACACTGTATCATTTGACCAGTCGGGCCGCCCGGCTAACGCCGGGCTTCCCTCCTTCTTATGGGGACGCCCGGCTTCGCCGGGCGCGGTGACGCCCGGCTACGCCGGGCGCTCCTCCTTCCTCTGAGAAATTTGCTATGCGCAAACAACACTTCGGATTCTACTTTTTCTTTGAAAGCTGTACACCCTCAGTATTAGCTTCAAACTGTGCGCGATTTTTTCTGTAAGCCATCTTCGCTGTGTCCGAATAAAACATCGCATTATATCACAAAACTTATTTAGAGAATAAGTATTCAGACTTCATCGCGGCTTATTCTACTATGTTAGCAACCATCAATGTTCCCAGCCAACTCCTTGTGCCTTCAAGCTTCAACAGTCTGGGTGCGAACCAACAGTATTTATTCACGCCCAGTCCTTTGGGGCGGAGTTTCGTCTTGCAACCTATCATCAGTGTTTCCACCCTGCCGCCTGTATTCCTACCAAATTTGAACGCTATAGGTCCAAGTTCGAGTTTTTCACACAAACCCCGCCCCTTGTGGGCGGAGTCCGGTCCTGCCACCCACCATAAGTGTTTCCGCCCTGCCGCCTGTATTCCTACCAAATTTGAACGCTATAGGTCCAAGTTCGAGTTTTTCACACAAACCCCGCCCCTTGTGGGCGGAGTCCGGCCCCACCGCCCACCATAAGTGTTCCTAACCTGCCCCCTTACACCTACCAAATTTGAACTCTCTAGGTCGACGGGAACCGGAGTTGTGAACTTGCGCTCCAACGTTTATTTCGCACAAACCCCGCCCCCTGTGGGCGGAGTCCGGCACCACCGCCCACCATTAGTGTTCCCATCCTGCCCCCCTTACACCTACGAAATTTGAACTCTCTAGGTCGACGGGGTCCGGAGTTATGAATTTGCGCTCAAACGTTTATTTCGCACAAACCCCGCCCCCTGTGGGCGGAGTCCGGCACCGCCGCCCACCATTAGTGTTCCCATCCTGCCCCCCTTACACCTACGAAATTTGAACTCTCTAGGTCGACGGGGTCCGGAGTTATGAATTTGCGCTCAAACGTTTATTTCGCACAAACCCCGCCCCCTGTGGGCGGAGTCCGGCACCACCGCCCACCATTAGTGTTCCCATCCTGCCCCCCTTACACCTACGAAATTTGAACTCTCTAGGTCGACGGGGTCCGGAGTTATGAATTTCCGGTCAAACACACACACACACACACACAAACACACACACAGACAAACCAACAGACACACTTAGCGCGTTATATATAGTAGGATAAATTGCCGAACCATTGCACGTCTCCATCTCCTAGTCATATTACTTCGGTTAAACATTCGGGAAACGTTTGGAGCTTCCTCGGAGAACAGTTAATCAACTACTGGTCATTCAACTATATTTTACTCTGACTTGTGATCGTTCACTTTTAAAAAATGCAGAACCTTTCAAATTTCATGTTACTAATAATTCTCCTTCTATTGCCGCAATAACTGAAACTTGGGTAAAAATATACAATGGTATTGCCCCCATAAAAGGTGATTTATGCGATTTTCATGACATTCGATGCGGTGATTTATGCAATTTTTATGACATTATTCGATGCGGTAGTACTCGCAAAAAGGGTAGAGCAAAGAGCTCCATCACATTGTTATTCTCAATGATTCTGCTGATTGCGCTTATGAAGTTCTTGCTTGTGATTTATACCCTGCCTGTACATCTCCTTTCAGAATGATTTTACTCTACCATACTCCCAGCTCCACGCCAGAGCAATTGAAAAATCTACTCAAGTGCATTAATAACCTTTCAATTTGTGAATACCCAAGTGTTCTTGTCGTTTTTAATTTACCCCATATCGACTGGATGCATGGTTGCAAGTGTTCAGCAACACTATCAAGGTCTTTCCTTGATATGTGTGAAATCTGTCATTATTCTCAGCTGGTCCTCAGGCCTACCCGACATGATAATATCCTTGATCGTATTCTCTGTAATGATCATCAAATCGTGTGTGACATTTCAATACATCCACCTATCGGTAGCAGTGATCACTTCTGCTTGAATGCTGTGATGAGAGGCAGAGTAGACTGTCATGTCAGTCACCCACCTAAATTAGGTCTTAATGTGAAAAATACCGATTATAAAACTGTCTTCTCTTTCCTGGCTGATATTGACTGCATAAGTTCCTTTGGCGCTCTGTAAATTCTGTAAACAAAAGGTATGAATTATTTCTTTTCATAGTCAGGCAAGCTCTAGAACTACTCACCCTTCTCCGACAAATCTCACCTACACAGAAACTGTTGCCCCATTATTTAACAACTTTATACGGATTCGTGCGCTAACATGGAGATCTGCTATTTCTCGAAAAAATGTGGAGAACTGGGAGCTGTATAACAAGTATAATCATATATTCCTCAAATCCCTCAACAAATACAGAGCAGCAAAGGTAAAGAAAATTCCGGAGTCTAAGAAGCATTTGGCTTTCTATAAACTTCTCAACTCAAGGTTGAAGGATAAATCTCGTATCATACCCTTAGTCTTTGATGCAGGAGTATCGTTCACTGATCATGAAGAAGTTGAAGTACTTGCTGAACATTCCGCTAGTGTGTGTTCTGATATAAATGGAATCCCAACTATGAAGATTCTTCCCCGCTTCCCACTGATGCCTCCTAGTTTATGGAACCATGAAGAAGAGATCGAAGATATTTTGGTGCATCGGCCTTCTAATGCTCTTTCAACAACGCCGGATGGTATTCCGCTTCCGTTTCTCAAGGCAATAGCGCTTCTCATTTCTTATCCCCTTTCCTTGATTTTTAACTTGAGTTTCGTGACTGCTGAAATTCCGCAACGCTGGAAACATTCTTTTGTGGCACCTATTCTTAAAAAACCTTTCTTCTTTGCTCAGAACTATCGCCCCATAAGTATAACATCTATTTTTCTTCGCATTTTTGAGAAAATCATGAAAAAACACATTGTTCTCCATCTTGACTCACATTCTGTATTCTCTGACGATCAA